TGGATCGTGTGAAATATCGAGATTCTTTAATCTCGTCATCTAAATTTCACAATATCAAAAAACGTGGTTTACAGTGTGTTACAGTGCCGTATGCAATTGCCAAACGTGGAAATATTATCGTCGCGTCTTTTAATTTTATAGGAAACAATTACATTATTTTGTCGGCGATAGTTGGTCCTCTCTAGTCTCATAAATAGTGGTTTTCGTCATCCATTCATTTCATTTTATATACGCATATAATATATCACTTTCTGAACTCGAAAAAAAAAATTATACATTCCGTTGGACTCTGCAAAAAAATTAGATACTGTAAATATTTAATATTTAATTTTTTTTTTGTGCATATCAATATACAAATATACATATTAAATAAGACACTTTTTCCTCGGAACATCGGCAACCGACGCACGAGTCTTCACATCTCTCCCCTTTGATTTTCAGATCTAATGGCTAACAGAATGTCCGTAACTATCCATGGAAAACTCAAGAGTCTTTTCTTATCCGTGTCAACATTCTCTTTGCCGTATGTGACCATGTACCACGCCGATGCTTTGGCTTTGGTTTCTTCATTCACCGGTATTTCGACGTGATAGCCAAAATGATCATCGTCTTCACTCATTGTCTCCTCATCCTCTTCTCCCCTTATTCCCATCAAGAAATTTTTGCGGAAATTATATATGAGATTAGAAACCGCACCCGATACTCTCTCTCGAATATCTTGTCCTCTTCGTCCATTCATATTATGACTAATGATGTTTGACGTGATGACCTCGGGTTCTGTGTCGATGTCATATCTTTTCATTAGAGCCTTGATTTCCGAGTTATATGTGTTTCTACATATGACCGCTTCCTCCATGTAATATTCGAATCCTTTGGCGAGAAACTCTTGCATGGGCTCTACATTGTCTTCATAACCGAGAAGAGAATCTTCATCAGGTTGATCGAGTTCTATTCTTCGGTATAATTTTCCGAGAATCTTTTTAGATTGATAACAGGTTCTCCTCCCCATAAAATCCGGATACTTCTCTATTCTTGGCAATGTGTCGGTCACAGGAACGCCTGTTTTATTGAAGTCGACAGCCTTCGAATGCTGCGAAAATTTAAAAAAGATAAACGAACTATTTCTTGATTAAAGTAATTTTTGGAAACGTCTACATGAACATACCATTTGTGCTAAATATACACATTCATTGCAGCGTACCCCCTCGGCCTCGTAGTCCGCAAACGCCATGTGCAAATTAGCAATTTGACCAAGTCGATTGTTAATCATAAAATCGCTAAAGAACTCGTGCAGATCCGAAATTTCCACAGGTCTGTCCAGTTTTTTTCGATCTGGAGGATCATATTTCATCGATTCTTCGGAACCGTCAAAAAAAATTCTCTCATCAAAACACACAAAATATTCATCTCCATCTATACATCAATTCTAGGTTATTAAAAATTTGGATTTTCATGAAGAAACACCTAATAATTACCCAAGTCTCCGCCGCTCTAAGAGTGCACAATTGTAGATGGTGATTAGTTTACGGTTAAGTCATATTAAGTAAATATTCTATTGATTAATACAAACCAAACAATTGGGCAAGGGCCTTTCTCCATGCATGCTGAAAACAACACAATTACGGAGATGTGAGAGTTCGGGAACATTTACAGCAGTTACCATTTGTATGTCTCCCGGGTGTAGACATGGATTTCGGGTGATAACTATTAGAATCCAGGTCGGAAGTAAATCCATGTTCTCATCGCGATTCCAAGTACTTAATCATTATACCATACCTGCTTTCCCGACATGCACCCGATGATCCCTCTCTACCTTCTCTTTGGTCTTCGAAAAGGTGTTATTTTGAGATATGATGATCGACGTTTGAACGAATATTTCACCTTAAAATTTAATAAAGACATCAAATCAACTGTAAAGTCGGAAAAAACGTACCAGACCAGAGAATAAAACATATATTTAAGTTTTACCAGGTCCTAAAATACCCGTCTCATCTAAAATTCCAAACAGAAGAAAGGCTTTTGGCATCATGATACGCGCCTTATACTTCAAGTTCTTCAGCGCATAAATCCTCTTGCACTCTAAAAGTCCTATTAAGTATGGTTCTTCGGTCCTCATCATCCCCTAACAGCGCCGTTTAAATTTCAAAGATTCGTTAAGCCAAAGAACAAGTCAAAAATCCCAATAATCTTAACAGATTGTTGAACCTCATCAATCATGCTCAATATGCTCCTTGTTATGTGGGAGCATTCACGCGAACCGACGCTTCGATTTACAACGTCGCGCGCCTTATCCTCGTTCTCCATCATCAAGTCAATGTCTTCTTTCATGGTGTCCTGTAATTCCAGAAACACCTTATGCGGAACCCCTAAGGATTCTAGTATTATAATCATTTGTCGGTTTAGATGTCCGGTCAAAGGATTCTTCATCACTTTACATATTTCCAGATTTCTGGAAATTGGTGCCTCGAATTTTATTTGACTTGGACGAGTACACAGTACATCTTCCTCTAACCTTCGGTCCACTGAGACCACACCCTGATTTAATTTTTCGTTTAAACAGACTTTTTAATACCAAAAAAGAAAAAAATTTTTTGAACAGAATTACCACGATGATAACTCACTTTCGTTCCTCCATATCTGATCTGAAAAACAGAGGGTACTTCCTTGTCCCTTTTCCATTGGGATCCCCAGTAAAGCTTCGCCACGCGTTTGGCAAGGCTCTCCGATATTGTCCCACAACCGTCACTGTGATTAACGAGAAAGTATTGATATCTGATTGTGGTTTTTTGCTGAAATTTATTTACCTGAAATTGCATCCGTTATTCCAGATGTCCGGTATCTGTTCCACCTGATCTTCATCAAGTTCTATTGTAGCGACTGTGCTCGAAAAACATTGTCCCATACGCGCAGCGTACAATGCGGGCGCCATGATGGAACTAAATCAACCATAGGTAAGTATAGCCAGCACTAAAAATTTTCAAATCCGCACATTCGCTCACCTAAAGTCGCCCATACGAGAACGAATCATATCCGCATTAAAGTCACCATCTGCCGACACAAACCAGCAAGAGGCTTCTCTCAATTGCGAAGAAGAAAAGGCCAAGAATTCATAATGCCTTCCTGCTACGTGAAATCCATTACTCATAATTGAACCGATCCGCTCCCTATATAAATCATGATCTTTTTCGCTAACAAACAATCGATCAAGATCCTCATCTCGAAATGAGACACGCATGAACCTATCAATATGTTTATCATACTGACGTAAGATACGATTCGACGGTTCATACGTGGGGTCATCAAAGTATTCACTGGTGGGTGTTATTATAGTGTGATTCACCCACGCCCATCTATTAGTGTTTCTCCTCGAAATTTTGGGGTTTGCTGGATGCCATTCATTGTATTCGCCACGAAAGTTTCGGATGGCGACATTGAATATATCTATTGGACGTTGACTATAGTATTCGTCAGAGGGATCCCAATGCTTTGTTGCCACTTGATTCAGGGCGTACCAAGCAATTGTCTCCTTTCCTTCGTCAACGAGCTCGATCAATCGATCTACAATATGGTGATCGTGAATCTCATCGTACGTGACAATGCCGTATGATAGCAAACATTCCAATTTAAAGCTTAACATGAAAGGCAAAGTTTCAAACGCGTGACTCAAGTATGTTGAGGATAATTCTGTCGCTTTTTTCGTGATCACTTTAGCGCGAGGGATAGTCTTCGGGACACCGCGTATTGTAGTTTTTCTCAGGAGTTCCTTTATCTCCCTGACATTTTCCTTGAACACTAATCGGTAGACACGCGATATTCCGAACACTTTCAACGTTCCCGTCCAATCGAAGGTTCGTTTAAACTGCTCACTCACATACGACTCGTATAGAAATCTCGTTCTTTGCGACGAAAGTAACTCAAGAAAGTTTTCTTTTCGGTATAGCATAGGTGGATGTTTTAAAGAGAGGTACACTGAAAACTCATCCTCTCGTGAATCAAAGAGGACACCTTCCCTCCCATCCAATAGGTTAAAGGGTATTTTAACACGTTTTTTTTTGTCATTAAGTGAAACCTCAAATAAGTCTAGAAAAGACATCTCTGATTCCGAGGCAGTATTTGAATCCGCAAATCCGTCTAATAGAAAAGACCTCTCTGATTCCGAGACAGTTAACGTTAATTCATTATGAGGGTAATTCCAACGATTTGTGAAAGTCCATTTCTCTTTTTTACCCTCCGTCACCGGGTGTTGACCAGCCCAATTTCCTAATTCTAGACTTGCGACTTGGAACTTTTCTTCTTCCATTAATAAATTTTCCATATCCATTTGCCGTGGGTTTCGTGATTCCTGTATGTTTAATGTTCTTCTCATAAGTTCCGGAGGAGTATCATGCGCAAATCCAAGTAAATCATCGGCATCGTTTGGTCTCAATGAAATGAAGCCAAACCCTTTGTTCCTGAATTCTCCCTTACTACGTAATTCACACCGGTAAACCTTACACTGTCTGTCGCTGCAATTAAAAAAATAGGATTCTATTGCATCAGCAACATTCTTGGCATTTGCAGAGTATGGTAAGTTTCCTATATATAATTCTTTTAGTTGATTCTCATTCATTACTGTGCTGAGAAAAGGAGAAAGAAGATGCCCACAATTATTGAACTTTCCATACACCGTATGTATTATATAGTACAGGATTTGCAAATGATGTGTAATACATATTACATCCTGTTCCCCATCATCAACTACTAATTCAACGACGCCACATGAAAACCCTTGAACTGAATCAAGAAATATCTCAAAATGTATCCATGCATCATATGATTATTAGGCTTATTAACAAAATTCCCGTTTCGTGACTCTTTGTTGAGGGGATGGTAGACGTCTATTCTTTTCGACGACATTTTTTTTTTGCACGTGACGAATACACAAAGAATTATGATAAATATGCAATATTCCGGTTGATGATTGGATAATATATAGTCGCATGAAACATTTTTTGTCATCATTTTGGGGGCATTCATTTTTTAAAAAAGTAAACATGTCCAAATTCAGAATTCGATTAAAACGCATCGACGCAGATCACCTATAATTTATAATACTACTACGATCGCGATAGTATTCGGATGGTTCTATCAAATCTCAAGAAAGTACTCAATCCCAATTTTCAAACCTACAACAGGCCCGACGAAACTCAACCAACTTCTAATGTACCCTTCTAATGTTATTCCCTTTGATGATAAGTAAAAGTTTTCCATCATATCACCATTGTCATTTTCTTTATTATTACCATCATCGAGTTTTTTTCTCTTGGAAGTATCTGTTTTAATCACTTCTTCCTCTAGATTTTCACTTGTGCTGACTTCTGAAGACGATGTAAAAATGTTACCAGAAATAAAAATAGCAAAGTTGAAACTGAATAAATTAGTGATTACCAACTATTGACTTCATCAATGTGGCAGTTTCGCAAGGATGAAGAAAGTAAAATGGAACCGAAAGGGTTGGATGATCCTAATTAAAATACGTCGATGAAATTTTATGAGAGGAGACCAACCAATATATTCAATTGATTAATGCACCAGACAATCATTGTAAGAATCCTTTAAACGTGAAAAAAACCAAGAAATCATTAAACCTGTTGTGATATACCGCCATAAAATCCCGCGGTTTTTATATCGTCAAGTCTCAACGGTTGAACCAAATGCGAATATATTTCATCGATTTTTAGCGGTGTGCCATCTAGAAGCATAATAGGCCGTTGACCTTTTAGTGAAATGGAAAAAAAAGAAAAGAAATAGGATCGATACTAACCATCATAGCATACATTAAAATAAAGTACGGGAACCTTATACGAAGTTGAAAATATGATATGATAGTTGACCGTCAAGTATTCGTCCCGTGCAAGTAACATAGGAAACTCCTAGTTTACATGAATAACACATTGCAACTCAAAACCATCTCTTGAGATCAAAGAACCTTCACCGACCGCGTTTTAAAGCGGACAACGAAAAAACTTTGTTGTTGCTAAATTAATGAAACAATGAAGATCTAAAAAATCAATCCCTACACTAGGATCTTCTTCTTCCACAACTTCAACTCGCTGCTCATTCACATCATCCACCGGTATAATATCTTCTTCCAAACCTCCTGCATCCTTATCCATCACCTTTGGTACTATTGAACTTCGACATAAGTAACCGAATCCCTTTACCTTCTGTATTGAAAGAAATTAAATTCCAAAATTTAGGGCTCAAGACTATTTCAAATAGCTTTAGGTTAATGATTGATTTACCAATTATTCTTTCAAAACAATTCGCGTTTATCAATACATTTAAAAAAAATTATATGATTAATGAATCTTTAAGAACAATAACAATATGTCACCTCGTGCTCAACCCAGTTCCAAACCTCGGTGTCACTCGCTTTTCGAGACTGTGCAATAAACAATTTTGCAGCAATTTCGAATTCCTGCCTGGTCAGAAACGGATATTGTTTCGGAAAAGTGTTTGGTGGTAACGGTACAGACATTTCATTCAATTACAAGATGCAACCGATGTAGTCTAAAACTCTCATGATGATGTATATGACTTTGGGTAGCACAAAAGACGATCATTTCGTAATATAGTAGTATATCGATATAGTAGATTTTTAAAGTTTTGAACTTTTCTATTTTAACTACGATTGTGTTTTTATACATTGTCCACAAACTCCGAGGCGCAACATAGCGGTTTTATATACTGTATAAATATAAATATAATATACTGTATTTATTTATGTTTTTTTCTCACGAAAATAAAAAATGGTTTTTATAAAATAAAAAAAAATTTTTAAAATTTATTTTATCTATAATGATTTGTTGGAGCTTGTTTATAAATTATACGAAGCATTATAAATATTAGTATACTGTAATTGCTAATAGTAATTACAAATTATACAAAAAATAAGATACTGGCGAGTCGATAATGCAATTATGTATCTACTCCAATTTTGCTTGAAGAGATTTACACATACAATAAAGTTCGATTTTCTACCTATAACTGAACATGCAAAATTAGTCTCCTCGCTTTTTTGCAATCCTTAACATCAGAAAAATTTTTTATCAGTAAATAGAAATGTGACAACGAAAACCAGTGTTATTTATATGGTACTTTTGATTGTCAGTACCCAGTAATTCAAAGCACTTTATTTATTAACTAATTGCAATTTGTACATGGTTTAAAAAGAATGATTTTGAAAATATCAATAACACGCACACCCTCCAAATTTAGCCATTTATTGACCACCTCTAAGACGAAGTACAAGGTGAAGAGTAGATTCCTTCTGAATATTATAATCAGAAAGAGTACGACCATCTTCCAATTGTTTACCGGCGAAGATAAGACGTTGCTGATCTGGAGGAATTCCTTCCTTATCCTGAATCTTCTGTTTTACTTGGTCAATAGTGTCGGAGGATTCGACTTCAAGGGTAATTGTCTTACCGGTGAGGGTTTTTACAAATATTTGCATACCACCGCGGAGACGGAGCACAAGGTGAAGTGTTGACTCTTTTTGAATATTATAGTCGGAGAGAGTACGACCATCCTCAAGTTGTTTGCCGGCGAAAATGAGACGTTGCTGATCTGGGGGGATTCCTTCCTTATCTTGAATCTTTTGTTTTACCTGGTCGATGGTATCTGATGATTCGACCTCAAGGGTAATGGTTTTTCCGGTCAAAGTTTTCACGAAGATCTGCATACCACCGCGGAGACGGAGCACAAGATGGAGAGTTGACTCCTTTTGAATGTTGTAGTCTGATAGGGTGCGGCCATCCTCAAGTTGTTTGCCGGCGAAAATGAGACGTTGCTGATCTGGGGGGATTCCTTCTTTGTCCTGAATCTTTTGCTTTACTTGATCGATGGTGTCGGAGGATTCGACTTCGAGGGTAATTGTTTTACCAGTAAGTGTTTTTACAAAAATTTGCATACCACCACGGAGACGAAGTACGAGATGAAGAGTAGATTCTTTTTGGATATTATAGTCTGAAAGGGTACGACCGTCCTCTAGTTGTTTACCAGCGAAAATAAGACGTTGCTGATCTGGAGGAATGCCTTCCTTATCTTGGATTTTTTGCTTTACTTGGTCGATAGTGTCGGACGATTCTACCTCGAGTGTAATCGTTTTTCCTGTAAGAGTCTTTACAAAAATTTGCATACCACCACGGAGACGGAGCACAAGATGGAGTGTTGATTCTTTTTGAATATTATAATCGGAAAGAGTACGGCCATCCTCTAATTGTTTGCCGGCGAAAATGAGACG